ATGGCAACACTGTCGCTTCAACTGGCCTGCCACTGTCGTCATCTGGGCATGACATTGCCACAGCTTTGGGGGTTACGACGAGTACGGGCCACACCGCGATGCCTATGGGCCAAGCCCAATCCTCTGGACAAACTCAGCAACAAAATGCAATAAACAATTCCGCCCAGCAAAAGCAGCAGCAGTATCTGTTGCAGCAACGAGCACAACAGATGCAGCAGCAACAACAGATGCAGATGCAAGCTCGCCAACAGCAGATGATGCAACAACAGCAAATAATGCGACAGCAAATGCAGCAACAGAAAGGATCGCAACAGCAAGCGCAATTCTCTGATCAGCAGGCGAATCAGTTAAGGCATCAGCAACAGCAAAATAGTCAGAATACTGTTAAACAGCTCGGCGGCCAACAGACGCAACAGCAAACGGGACAGCAGGGATCCACTCGGCAACAGCAGTCAAATTTCGCACAACAGAAGCTTGCGCAGTCTCAACAAGCCCAGCCGCAACAGAGTCAGAATCAGAACCAGAGTTTGCAACCTCCAACGTCACGAGGAGAAAGCCCATCGATCGATTCCGGACTCAGTTTGGGCTTAGAAGATTCGCTTTATGGCAGCATGAGCAACGATCTATTGCAAATGCCGACGCCTTCCGGATCATCCTCGGTTGGCCTCATGGACTTTTCCAATGCATTGTCGCCCACAAGTTTTGGCAGTATGGGCTTGCTTGACTGGGACGACTCGACTGGCCAGGGGAATTCAGGTCAGGGTGGCAATGGCACGTCTGGTGGCGACACATCAGATCTCATGTCATTTGTGGAAACTTTGTAAAGTGTAGATGAAAGCAGCTACATAGCTGTCATCTTCTAGGTAGGATTCGGTAATAGTAATTCTCGAAGATAAATAGTTGTACGCTGTCTACTTATAAATGGACAATCATCATGCTGATAGAAACCTTGGGCTGCATCATGACCTATTGGGAATATTTTGTAATATAAAAAAATATTTTTAGCAAAGTTCTAGTCTTGCTGAGACAGCACATGAGTTTTCAAACTCCCACCCAGTTCACGTACTTCTGACTTAATGTGTCATTTCTAATGTAGCCAGATACTCACCGACATATATGCAAGTATAAGTATACAGACAGCTGCGTGGTACATATTTATCTAGGCGCCAGTTCGCTGATGTGTAATGATTTCGTAAATTATCGAAAGATTTATGATTTTCCCAATCATTTGGACTTTCATTATGAGACATTACAGAATTGTCGGAAGAGATATTTCTATGTAATTTTGCGAAGCGGAATATTTAAATTAAAGATACGGGCTGAATGATGCACAGAGGATGGGTTAATAAGCTTCACCCTGGGGTATTACGGAGATCATTTGAAATAATTAAGCACCTGCCTTGCTCTTCAATTTAAAGAGTGACAGTAAGTATCTCTAAGATTAAGAATATTTTCAATGTTACACAGCAAGACTTATGACATGACCCCCCATCTCTCTTTTACAGAGCCCACTGTCCACTGCACACTTGCACAAAAGTGTAATTAATTTGAACCCTTCTTAATAAATTTTGCATGCGTTGTAGCTGGCGAAGTTATCGTGATCGTACTCTTTACCTGCAAGACTCGACCAGAATGATTATTATTACGAAGGCTCACCCTTAAAGAATACAAAGGCCAGGGTTTGGTTCGTAAGGCATGATTGTTGTGAAGATAGGTTTGATCACTCATAAATGATTACTGGAATTGTTCAGTTTGCCCAGCCCCCAGATGGAGACAAGCTTTGTCTCTGTCGGTGCAGAGGCAAAGCAACTCCTACCGAGTGCTGTAGCCCTCACCTGCGACAGGCTTGAAGCCAATGGAGCTTAGCACGGTCAAGCACATAATTATCCGCGCTTTTGATGCCAAAAAATCGGCAAGGAAGAGCTTCAAGTATATGATCATTGAGCTAGTCTTTAAGAAAACCGTAGCCTTTTGGCTAAGGACTGAGCCGCGAATACAAGGTACGAACCAGAAAATGGTGAGATTGGCTTATTAGTAACTTTGTTGAGATCTAATATATGTCATAACTCCAACACACTTCAAACGTCTTAACGCAGTGGCAGTCAAATCGTGGTAAATACATGAGTAGAGAGTCTTGATCAGCTTGCTCGACTCTTGCGCATCAGCAGATATTCTCAACCCTATGACATGTTCTGAGAGAGCTAGCTTATGATACCAATACGCAGTAATTGATTGTTTGTGCGATGTCGTAAAAGTACTCAAAACCGTTTGCTACTAACGGCATCTAGATATATGCATCCAAAGATGACATGGAAACACCTGCGTGTGGATGAAAGAGTACAGACAGAATGAATTGATATAGAGCTGCTCATCAACGACTCATATATCGTGGATGGGGTTTGCACCAAGAGATCAGGGGCAACGGAGTTTACTTCCAAATCAAGAATGTTCTCCTGACAACGTAACGCATCGTTGCTTGAGGGCGGAAGCTGAAACCTATCAAAGGCTCTAGACGAAGACCTCGCGCGTCAAAGAGCAAAGGGATTGTGGTAAAGACATTGGACATAGTGTAAAGAACTCAATGTATCTTATGCGTTGAGATAGATGATAAGAAGGCGTCTCCATGAAATGATATTTCAATTCGCGAAAACAACACATTCGTTTTAGTCACCCAATATCTATACTCCCGAGCTTTAAGGTAGTTTAGCTGTTAAGGCTTATGTTTACCTTACACCCTATATGTTGGACAAACAAACCATGATTAGATGAACTTCTAATTGTAATCTAAAACTTGCTAGTAATTTGTGCCAGTTACGGATCAGGAAGGCCGACATTGTTTCTAGCTAGCAGATCAAACTATTTGAGAAGCTGGTGGAAGCACGAGAAACTCAACATCTATGCGTTTGATATGTGGACCCTAAGAGTTAAAGCTGCCTTTAAGCACTTTATCATCAGTTCATGGTTAATAGAGGCACATTCCCAGAAAGCAACGACATTAGAAAAAGTGTGCCGGCAATTAGAAGTATCAAGTTTTGCTTTCAGACAACTTTGTATCGTCTACCAACTCATGATGTGTAAATCCAGCAATGGATCAGAACGACAACGGCACCAAATGAATATGAGAACGCTCGTTTGTGGCCATTTTCATAACCAGATTGATGTTTTCACAACAAAGTGACGTTTAAAGGTTCGACCAATGGGCTATTTGCTCAAAGTGAAAATTTCATAAATTTGGTTACGAAAAGAAAGACGCGTGGACTTCATAAACAGCGCGACTGGAGTAAGATGGTACTGGCGACTGCGACGATCGTGCGCGCTCACCTGCATAAGGTAAGTGAGCTGTTGCACGTATGGGAAGCCGTCGAGCAGTACCTTGATTATTCAGGTGGCTGGACGCTTGAGCGTGCAGCGGCGCATGGTATGCAGTATTTGGTGCAGCACCTGGCGTCCAAGAAACTTCATGAGCATGCTACTTTACTGATAATGGACTTCGCGGCTTGCAATGGCCACCTTAATATCCTTGCTTGGCTCCACGATACGTTAGATTTGAGCGGCTGCTCAACGCGTGCCATGGACAATGCTGCCAAAAATGGGCATCTTCGGGTTGTTGCATGGCTACACACAAATCGCTCTGAAGGCTGCACGACCAAGGCAATGGACTACGCGGCAGGAAGCGGTCATCTTTCAGTTGTGCAGTGGCTTCACTGTAATCGTTCAGAGGGTTGCACGAGTCGCGCGATGGACTTGGCGGCACAGAACGGGCATTTAGACATATTACAGTGGTTGAACGACAATCGCCGTGAAGGCTGCACATCTAGCGCCGTAAGTTATGCGGCCAACAATGGTCACTTGAAAATTGTAATTTGGCTGTGCGAGGTGCGCAAGGAAGATTACACCTCGAGAACTGTGGTCAACGCCGCGCGCGGTGGTCACCTCTGCATTCTCAAGTACCTTCGCAAGCACTGTATCGATAAATTTGAGAGTGCTGGCCATCAGATGGTTCACGCTGCCATCACAAATGGCCAAGTTTGGGTGCTGACGTGGTTGGTCGCTGTGCTGCCAAGTGATTCTTTAAAATTAGAGGAGGCTCCTGGGTCGTGGATGGACCTAGCATCCGAATTCGGACAAATTGGCATTCTTCAGTGGTTCCACGCCCAATCTAACGCGCTTCCAGCGAGTTTTGACGGACAATATTCCGTGTGCACTGTTGAAGCTATCGAAAAAGCGGCTCGCTACGGACACAATGATGTGCTTGACTATTTATATGAGAATGACTTGGTCAATCTCACCGTCGAGCCCGACGCAATGAAAGCTTTAGTCGCCGCGATCAAAGGTGGTCACTTCGAATGTGTCAAATGGCTGGTCAGTCATTTTCGTGACCTTTACAAGAAGAGCTCACTTTTGTCATATCTTGCTATGGACGCTGCCGCTGCAGCTGGTAAGGTTGACATTTTACAATACCTGCGTGACGATCCAACTACGTGCGAATGGCGATTCAGCCTCAAGGCCGTGAATGAGGCTTCTCGACAGGGATTTGTGGATGTTTTGCGCTGGCTACATCATGACAATTTTAAAAAGCAGAATCCTGATGACGATCATTATAGCGTTGAGTTTGGGTCGATATGGATAAGTTCGAACTGGACACCTACGGCATTGGAACTTGCTGCTGCAAATGGCCATCTTCCTGCAGTCCAATGGCTTATGGAGCACCATCCCGAAACTTGTTACAATTTTGAGGCATTTAATGCCGCGGCCTACATGGACCACCTGGAGGTCGTGAAGTACCTTTACAATTATGTACAGCGCCTGTGCTCCATGGAGCAGGCGCTAGAGCATGCCGCTGAAGGCGGCGCAGAGGAAACGCTCGCCTGGCTTCAGTCTCGGCCAAATGAAGAAATTTAGAAATGATACAGTAGCATGTCTGTTAGAATTGTAATATATCAGAGTGATTAGATTGTACCAGCATTCTTGTTGTATTGTGATGTACGTGACCTTAAACTATTGTGTACAGGGGTAAGTATAAGTTCGTGGGGACCGATACTGTACATTGGGTATTATTATTTTCCCAGATGTAATAGCATGACAAAATTCTTAAATTAGGGTTACACGTACCCTGGTATAAGGGGAGTGGGTCACACAAGATAGTGTGACCACACAAAGGGGTTGCTAAACAGCCAATACCGTGGCTGGACTGCAGTTTAATTAGGTTTTATTAATAATTAAAATCCCCTTGAATTATATATTGGTGACTTTTGCCGCAAATAAAACAGAAGAAGTACAGTTTACAGTTTGAACGGAAGTGTTTTCTTGCCTTAAGTTAAGGTTGTGGTTACTCTTGGAGCGAGCGAATTGTGATCCGCTACACTTGTACTGGTTCTAGTATAAAACGTAAGGTCGATGACCTTAACTTAGCTTCCTCTAAGTGAAAAAAGAGCTACAGCAGCCCCGCTGCACTTGCTTGCAGTTGTAGTCAATCTATACCAAAGTCGTTACGACAAATCCTCTGTGAGGATGAAGCAATTCTTCTAGCATGCAGGACGGGCTTAAAAAGCTGATGTCTTTGCTTGGCCCTGAGGGCGTGCAACGTCTCGCTTTACAAGGACCTGAAGCGATCAGAGCGCGCTTAGAGACGTTTTCGAACTATGGATGCTCTATTAGAGCACCTAGAACAGAAGATGTCGGGGTGGACTGCGTCTATGACGCCACCGTCGACGACGGATGGCTCTCCAAACCCAGGACGCTCGTGGTGAGCGTCAAGACCCTCGAGGGTAAGGATGGATAGAATTTTCTGCTCTGGGTGAGTGAGATCGAGACGGCTATGGCGTGCGCCTTGCTCCAGATTGAGCAACAGCGCATGGCCCTAGCTATCTCCAATCTCGGTAGTCGAGCGCAAGAATGGGCACTGACGTGCGGGTGCGGAGCTCTGAGCTGCCGAGCAGCGTTCGAGCACCCGACGGTGTTTTGTCTGTCGAGACCCCCGTCACCGTCGGACGGGTTGTCCCCTGCGCTAGACACGTAAAGGTTCATCGAACCGACGTCCCGCTTCTCACCAGTTGTCTGGTTCGTCAAGAAGAAATGACAACGCCCAGTAGGCGCGGGGCGCCCAACTAGGGAAGTACTGAGGTTTGTTGAGTTTCAAGAGGTAAGGGTCAGCAGGGCCCAGCCCCGAAGAGCTCCGTGCTCATAAACACGAATCGCGTATGCAAGCCGGGCTTGCTGGTCGTGAAAACAACCGTGAAGGGCTTTAAGAAGCCACGGAATATCCTGATCGACTCCGGGGCATTGTGTATTTAAGCTCAACGCTCCACGATAGAAGGAGGTTAGCTGTATGCTGAGGGGCTGAAAGCGCGGTTGAGTGATACCGTCACTGTTCGCTTAGCGAGAGGGACATGTTTCACGGTGCCGAGGGTCCCTGTGGACCTCGGTGTCAAGTTTCTTGACTTTTATAGCGTGGTAGTCTTGGACTTGGATTTTTGGTATGACCGCATCCTTGGCATGGCATGGTTGGAACACCATGAGCAATGGATCGATTGGATGTCAAGGACATTGGACGCTACGCTTGCGTTTCCTGGTGGAGCATTGGTGAGTCATGAACCCACCTCTGCTAGGAAGCTGAAACGCTGTTGGCCCGAGCACTAGACCGGAACTGTCAACGTGCTAGAGATCGGAGTATCCAAGTTGCCGAACGCCAAAGGATTTCAAAACAGGAGTCCCGGGCATGGCTCGCGGGCTGCAGGTGGAGTGGCAGATAACCCACTGAGCACAGCTCATGTTTCAAAGCAGTTGCTGCATTCCTAGACTGGCATGGTCGGCCATGGGCCGAGGCATCATGGGCAAGGCCCCAATGATGCACGTGGCGTGGCATGTAATTCACTGAGCACTGCTTAAGTTTTGAAACAGTCGCTGCATGGTCGGGCCAGACAAGGTCCGAGGCATCTTGGGCTAGGCCCTTCAGATGCGCGTGGAGTGGCACGTTATCCACTGGACGAAGACTGCGTAATCTAGCAGTTCTTCGTCGAATGTTTATGATAACATCAAGGCTTTAATGGGGCATGAAGTGGGACTTACACTGGAAGACGGTGAGTGCGTGCTACAACTGGTCTAGCCGAGACATAAAACCTCTGCGAAGAGGCGACGGCGACTATGACGCCGTATGTTATCTGCAATGTGCAGGGCGTCGGCCCTGACCCAGAGTGTGTCTACCGTAGACAATGGCGCACAGCTATACACCCTCGTCAAAGGTATGACGGGAGAGGAAGACGGGACGTCACCCTTGAGACATTTCCTGCGGTGAATGCCCTTCTTGAGCCGGACGAGATGTCCTTCGAAGGGTTTGGCCGTGCCTTAAAGACAGACGACTTATACGAAGTCGTCATTTTGCGACCCAACCCGTCGTCGCTTTGAAATGAAGCTGTCCTGGGGAATTTTAAGAGCGTGCTGAACAAACGAAATGGATATTCGATCCCAAAGAACCCCTCGGATCCGTCCCGGACCGAAGTGTGCGTCATGATATTGACCTGGTTCCGGGAATTTAATTACACCAATGGCCCCTGCTTTAGGATCAGTGTAACGTCATTGACACCTTTTTCTGTGCGAAGCACGACACAAGAAGGGTACGTGAGAGCAAGTCTCTTCATTCGACACCCACGTTTTGTGTCCAGAAGCCGAACGGCAAGTGGCGTATCGTTCACGCTTACAATAAGCCAAACGCTACCACAGACGCCGGTTCAAAGAAAGAATGTTCTCCAGAACAATATGGCTGGCTGTACTTAATTACCTGCGATGAATTATGAGATTGTCACGTTCAGGGGGTGCATCTGCTAGGCTTAAAGCTGTTTGTGATCTTCAAAGATCATGCGACCCAGTCGCCTCACCTCTCGCAGAGGATGACCAGGTGACCCTAATTCTTTGTAGAATACAACTTCGAGGTGACGTATAAGCCAGGAAAGAATAATGTTTTAGTTGATGCGTTATCATGCAGACCGACTTATAAGCTTGCTCATGTCATGACGGTGGCGTCATCTGTGACGGATTTGATCCGCGTCGCAGACGCGGGTGATGATATATCCGTAGCGCTGCTACGGGCTTTCGGGAGCAAGGAGTTAGTAAACTCGGACAAGAAGCTGTCATCGCGACTGCACACACGACTGCACCGATATTCGCTGAATGAAGGGTTACTGTATTTTAGCACCGACTTGACGGATACGATACGAAGTTAGGTTCCTCACGATTAGGATTTAAGATACCGTATCCTATATGAGGCTCACGTTTCCCCACTCAGTGGCCACCTCAGTCGTCAGAAGACATACAGCTCTGTGAGATGCCACTACTGGTGGTTCAAGCTGTACAAGTGGACGATCAAATATGTGCGCACGTGTGAGTCACGTCAAAAGATAAAATACTCTCCCGATGCGGCGGCGCCGCTGGTCAGTCTATCGGTATCCTCCGGGTATTGGCAGTCCATGAGAATGGACTTCGTGTTTGGCCTGCCGAAGGACCAATGGGTAGCACGGGGTGGTGGTCTATGTCCCACCGATGGGGTCCATACAGCGACGCTGTTTGTGTATCGTGTCTTTCGACAGCATGACTCCCGTAGTCAGTTGTCGTGAAAGAGACCCACGCTTTATTATAAATTTTGGTCGACAAATTCCAACGTGCTGGGCACCAGGTTCATTATGTCAACAGCGGACCATCCGCAGACCGATGGTCAAACTGAGCGCGTGAATCGCGTCATTGATGACGTCCTTTGCACCGTCCGCTGAGACGCAAAAGCGCTGGATCGCCATGATGCCACGTGCGGAGTTCGCTCTAAAGAATGCAGTGTATGCGTCTACCGTATACAACCGTTCTACGTGAACGGACTCGTTCATCCTCGCGTCCCGCTGACACCGCCATCCCATGGGGTGCTCGGTGGGGGGAAAAGCCGAGCGGCCGGCTGATGCCAATTCCCTTACTGTTCGTAAGGAAGTCGATGACCTCTTTTTTTACACACGTTTGCAATGCGACGACTGAAAGCTATGATATACAGTAATAATATGCAGATGTAAGAAGCTGAAGAAAAGTTGAGAGCTTTGAGATCGAAAACCTTGTTTTTTTGCATAAAAAACTTTCCTACCCATGAAATTTTGGCTGCCTTAAAGACGAAGCTCCGTCCACGGTTTATCGGATTTCTTATGGTCGTGGCCAAGTGAGACCTTGCGTATACGCTGAACCTTCCGAAAAGGATGCGCTCCCACCCGGAGTTCTATGTGGGCTTGCTTAAGCCGTACCAGGTTCCAGCGCAATTAAACGAGAAGGCGTTGGTGCCGGGCGGCATCTAAGGGAGATCGAAGACCCGAAAGCTGAACCAGCAACTAATCCTGAGCACAAAGTGCAACAACTTCCGTTTCCAACGGCGCAAGGCGCTTCTACGTCGCATGAAGCGGCGCATTATTCTGCTCGACGGCTAGGAGCAGCTGACAGAGCGCGATAGTTCTCAACGTGAGGCAGTCAGTGCACATAGTGCTCCAGGCTCTCGAGGTCTTCCGAACAGCAGTATGCGACCCCAACCTGATGCTCAGCAAAGCCCCGATGGCGACGGATCTTTACCAAGATATTGAAGAGCATCACTAGTCACCGGACGGCGATCGACCAAGTCGTCATCATCCACCGCCGACTCTTTGCCACGAGAGCGGTGACGTCCGCTATCACGTGGGACGTCTTGTGGGGCGACGTCGTTGACTGGGTCAAACCCAGTATCTAATGAAGTGACGGAGATACCCAGACTCCGAGAGCTCACGGAAGGTTGAGATGCCACTTCAGCAAACTACCCAGACGTCGCGGCCGCTTATTATCAAAGGGATCATGACTTTCCGCCGTCGGACGCCCCGCGCTTCTCGGCAATAACTCATGAAGCTGAAGGGCTATGCGCTGAGCCCAAGCTATTGCCCTGAGCTGCTGCGGTCGCAGACGCAAATGAGAGTCCACAGAGCTCGCAGTAGCATGACGGATTGATCCATACGTCGCAAAGCGATTAAACGAAGGAACTTGGCGTCGCGCCTTGAGTTTGGCAAACTCGAACCAAAAACAGCGTTCTACGCGTACGTCTACCTCCTTGTGGCTCCGCTGTAAAATGGAAAGCGAGAGAGACTTCGGTGCCGCTGCATTCGCTCAAAGGGCCCTTCATCATCTACAGCGGTTTTGCCTGGGGCAAGCGTCATAGAAAGCATCGCATCGCAGGTACAGGAGCGCCTCCTGTTTGAGCACGACGTCGAGCGCGGTACATATCCACCGTTATTTATTGATGAACTAAGAAGCGAGCTCGGTGAGTTTTTCATTCGTCAAGCTCATCTTCTGTTGTAGCCAGGATTCGATCACGTAGACGCCCAGCGATCAGTCGATCGCGTCCTTCGCTTCAGTAACGGAATCCGCCGAGCGGAAGCCGTATTCCACACGAGGCTTTAGGTCCGACCGTATATGCGAAGGCATAAGAGTGGTCCTGTGAGCAGCCTCCAGTTGCTGCTTCTGTGCCTCGTCGAGGCGATTTGTAATGACACCACTACCCCCGGAAGTCGAGAGGTCGGAAAAATCGGACGTGCTGTCTGGTATTGCACCGCGTGCAGGAGGATCTGCACGAGGTCGCTCTCGGAATCAGCGAGGCTGGGTGTCTCTCTTGTCATAGACACAGATATCCTCGAGCAGAGAATGCATGAAGATGGTTTTGGGGACGCAGAGGTATCTTAGGCACGCGAGCCTCGTACGAGGCGACAGTTAAATTGTGGGTACTCACAATTTTGATGGGGGAGAGTGTAGAGGGATTACACGCTCCATGGTATTATCAGAGTAAGTTACACAAGATGGTATGACCACATGAAGGTGTGGCTACACCTTAAAGAAAGAAGCCAGTAAGTGGCTTTACTGCCAGTTAGTATGCATTTTAATTAGGTTTTACTATTTAATTAGAAAAATCTACTGATTTAGATATAGGCGATTTTACCGCAAATAAAAAAAGAGATACGGCTTACGTTTTGAGCGGAAAAGTGTAATTCCCTTGAAATAAGGCTGTTAATTATCTGGGAGTATGCGGATTGCAATTTGCTACACTCGTACTGGTTCCAGTATAGAACGTATCGTCGGTGAGCTTAGCTTAGCTTTCTCTAAGCAAAAGAGCTACGGCAGGCCTGCTTCAATTCCCTGAAAGATAAAGCTTAGACTAGCTGAAGTAGATACTATAAATTATTGCAGCTAGTATCAATGTGGACCCACTCAAGTAAATGAGGTGCAGCATATGCACCGCCTAACCCATTCTGGCTGTTATGAGACGATGCGACGTTGGCCGTCATTATAATATCACCCTTGATGAGTCATATTTCATTGGCATCCCACCGACCTAAGATCAGTTATTTCCAAGTTTCCAAGCACCTCCAATAGAGTGAAATTTGTGATGTTACTTAATTGAAGCGAAGAGTCATAATAATGTCGTATATCGTGCCCTAAGGGTTTCTCAAACCATTTTCACATAATGAGAATCCAAGGATCAAAGTTTATGAGTGCTAAAAAAGTAAACATCATTGGGATACGGTTTAACACCAATTTGTAGCCACATACTCATCAATCCGTCTATTTAGGACAAGCTGGTGTGGGTTTACTGTCAACACCTTCTTGTCTGATCCGCAAACTTCAATATGTGACACATCATCAAGTCACTCCCATAATTTTATTTCAAGCTATTTGATTGTTAATTACCAATCTAACAAAGTCAAGACATTCGTCTTGACTTTGCTGGCTGGCGGACATAAATGACCATGTTCGAGTCTTATTTCGGCTTAAATGTTTTGTTTTCAAGTCTTCAAATAGGAAACCGTTGAATAATCAACACTATGCAATCCAGCTGCCTGAAGCTCAACATCATTTGCAAAATTGACTGGATGAGCTAACGAAAGCATTTCGAGCTTCTAACCGGAGATTATCAAACTAATAGTTTTTTCGATGAAAAAAGTGGAGCGGGTCTACTTCTTTCGTGTGCTTTCTCTGGCGAGAAAAAAATGAGCGCAAACGTGTACTTATCCTTTACCTTAGTGCGAGCAAGCTTCAGCACATGTAAGCCTAAGCTATCCAGCTTTTATGAAATATAACTCAGGTTTGAATGGTCTTGCTCGACCTTACAAACCCTTTGTGGGGTAATCTGTACACTGGACATGATTCTGACGCACTTTGGATTGAAAAGCACTCTGAGTCGTTAGACGTATACTATCCCCAGGTACTTAGGCATCTCTAGTGTATAACGACCGAATACTCAACCCATTGAATCTCGGCTCAGGGCTCACATTGTTATCCACTTTCACCACTGTCTGCTATTTGTTCTTTTTACCTTTACTTTATTGCTTTGAAGCTCATCTTTGCGATGATGAACTCTGCGGTGTATTGACCACCCACTCAGTTTTCATGACAGTTAAACGTGGTTTATTTATGCTTTACGCCAGACCAAAGTTTTTTTAAAGTCGTAGACAATTTTACCGAGGCTTTGAGTATGAGGCAAACAAGGACAACACAGTGGCGCTTTGCTTTCGACCATGGACTGAAGAAACCAAGCCGTTAGACAGATATTATTAGCGTTGGGAGTCATCATCGAATATTACCGCTGCGTTAATTTATAAGGTATCCTTGATGGAGCTCATCTACCAAGCATTAGTCGGTATCAACTCTTTCTAGCGGTAATAAAGTACGATGCTCAATTCGGCTTTGCGGAACAGACAATTTACGCGGGCAAATTATCATTTCTCAGCAATAATTTTGCGTGCAGTGAATGTCGTATCACCAATATTGGGTTCCAAGACCAAGTCTTAAGCTTGATTTCGCGCTATGTGTGTCGCTTTTAGACTTTGAGCGCTGCACCGCCAGTCTCTTTTTTATAGACTTCCGCACAATATCTTAAATTTTTGGTTATCGATTTCTGCATCTTCACGATATTGAATCCAAATGTTTCCATGGCTGTGAAATTTTTGAAACTACCCCTCCACCATATCTGGTGTTGTGATGTCGCGGAACAAGTCCTGGTTGGGTGGCTTGGTGAATTTCAAGACTATCTCAAGGTCACATTGGATATTTGGATTGAAATCCCTACCTATACAATATCTTATCATGGCTACAGCGTATTTTTGGGTTTTCATGGTGTACCGATAGCGATTCTTCGCTGTCTATGGGTAGTCAGGAACGATATCAGTTTCGAGAATCTTACCTAAATTTTATCGATGTTCAGTATCAAGGTTGTAACTGTGCTCCAATGATCAAAGTTTACTGTCCAAGACTCTGTGCCATTCCGGCAACAGTTACTCAGGCCTTACACTTTTTCCATCGCATAACCGTCAAAATCAAACAATTAACACACGATTTCACCCTTGAATGACACCAAACCACCGCAATGAAAGAATCGTCACACAGAAACCTGGACGTAGCTGTTGGAACACCTCTAGTATCATCAAAGCTTTTAAGAGTTCATTTTTGCATCTACAATTTCTAAACTCCATGTATACTGGTGAACCTAAATCTCACGTCCCGATTGGTGAGATTTCTGCGGATTAGCGGCCCACATAGTTTACACCACACAGTACAACCAATTCCCCCAGTTTACACTGAGCTTTGCCATGGTGCTGTCATATACCGAAGAATTTCGCGTACTGACGCATTGTGGCTAAGTGCTGTAACGATTCTCTCAATTCCCGCAAGCTATCTTCATTTGATTTCTTATCTCAATATTTCCTCTTAGCATCACTCGTATTATTTACGGCTCCGGGCTCTAAGCTCACAATCACAGATTTGGAATGGGATAGATAACTTGCTGCACCAATTTTTATGTGAAGGTAGTTGACGAGCTTGTCTAACGTTTGAAATATAACTTAAAGTATGGACACCTCCAAGTTCGCAAAATTAACGCACTCCTTCAGCTTACATATGAAAATGCTGTAATGACTGAGACCGATACGGTAGCTAGGCACCTTGATGTATAAAAGTCTTCTCAGGATATAATAGGAAGGATACACGTGGAAAGTTTTGTTGCGTGTCCAACCTGAATAGACCGCCCGTGTAGAAAAAGCCCTAGTTTAAATTCGGAGGGAGTCTGCTGCTATTCCGGCTATTACAGTTCTCATCTTCTGGTCATGGCCTGCTATATTTTCTTCCTTGACAAAAAGGCAGTGATTTTGATCACACATGGTACACCTATTTAGGCTATGCGGGCGCTAACAACATCACTTGCTTCAAAACGCTCAATGTTCGACATGCAACGTCTCCAACGATACCGCACGAGTTAGTCCGGTTTTGCTCGCAGTCTATTGAGGTAAAAACTGCCGACGCTACACCCTGATGCTTCGGCTTAAGTATGGCTGACATCATAGTCATCTTAGTCTTCCTTCTTGGAGAATCAATAGTATTTATCTCTGCCCTAAACAATGTAAGCTTGTAAAATAAGTGGTAAATTGAGGAAGTTGGTTGTGATCCCACAGCCGCCTTGCTAAGCCGCTCCTGGTCGATTGCCATAGTCAATCTTCATAGCAAGATTTCCAAAAGACAGCGCTCTACTTGGGCAAGTAGTTGCTCAAGGCACTTTCATAAATTCTGCTGGATTGAGGCACTGATTAATTTTCGACGGGTTTGGTCTTTCCATGATCCCCCCAAAGTTCATACATTCGAGCGAAACAGCGCAGAAAGGGTGTCTGGTGGCGTCAAAAGCAGACCTGCCTATATTTGAAGCGCACTCTAGCACCGCTTACAAGTGCTCAATGTGGTTTACACATTCGAATCTTTTGATCTGCATTGTAGCGAGAGAAATGACTGTATATCCTGAATAGTCGGTAGTACTCTTTAAATACTGCAGGTGGTGCAGCTGACCATGCTTTGGCGCAGTTTATTCTTTCGAGACGGTTGCACCGGTATATTGGTTGTACTGAGCTAGTTAAGCATGCACAATTCATCACTCGTCGTTGTCGTATTGACACAGAAGCTCGGTGCCAATCGGAGATATATATACTCTCTATAGACGAAGCTATTCAATAATTAGACTGAAAAGAATAATCTATTACGTTACACCGTAACAAAGACCATTGTCTCATGACGCAAAACTTGAATCCAGGAAATAAGTTAAAATCATGATACACTCTCTGATCCGGGGCAATACTCACGAGTGGTCTCTTCTCACCACGTCATTATCATCTAACAACGGATAGAAACAACTGTAGAATTTTTTTAAATAGATGTCCGACTATTCTCTCAGTGTTCAGCAAATTTTCTCAGAGCCGGAATCATCCATAACGGATGAGAACCTCATTCCCCACGAGACCAGCTATGCGATTTTGGTGGCTGCACAACATTGTGACGCTTGCATTCCTCAAAACATTCTTTTATTGCGATTAAAACCTCCACCGGAGAGATTTATCATTCCTAGGACTCTCTCGGTATTCTATTCTTTAATGTGTAATCGATATCGCTTTAAATTCATAACTCTTCACTGCTCAGCACAGCTGACGCATCACACGATGTCTATGGCCTAATTCTAGTGCTACATCCTGATAGTGGTGGTTGTGTGGATGTAATTAATATCAGACCCTGACTCTATTTTCTTGTTACTTACAGTCGCCCATATTCTGAAAAATCTACACCACAAATTGCTGCTAGTTGCCATCGACTCTGGCACAGGAGGCGCTAGCTAACAACTTGTAATGGGTCAAGTGCCATTACACATGTTGAGCGGACCACACACCACATACTTTTGTGTCTCACATCAACTGTACACCATGTAGAGTTGTATATCCCCTTTCAGTTCTATATTATCAGAACTAGAAGTAAAATAATAAATATAACTTCTCGCTTTCTTCTCTCCACGTAAGTCAACGGCCTGCTGGAAGCGAGCAACGCGTATCTGTCGACCTAAGCCTATCTCAGAAAGTGCGTGTGCACGGACGGGCAATTCCCGTTACACTATTGCTAATTACCGGTCCGCCCAACGTACTCTTTATGAGCTAAGACATAAAGTCACCCATTTCTGTCCTACCAAAGAGACCCTTGTGGACTGCGATACACGATTGTTTGGCTCTGTCGCGTTCTGAGACCGTGTCACACTTCCGCTCCAGCGTGTCGAGCTCTACATCAGACACTGAGCCACGTACTTGCTATACAACTCAGACAATCCTGCATCTTTACCAGACTGCACCGAAGCCATCGTAAGTTCGTGTCAACGCCAGCGATTATTTTGGTTCCCGTCAGAGGTAGGTTAATGACTCACCTAAGCTATTCCAAGAGAGGAATGCTTGGCACTTAGCTTTTTTACATTTTCAGTCGATCCATAGTTTTTGGATGTTGAATCATACTGGTAATGAGATCATACTTTCGACTTTGGGTTTGGGACGGAAAATGCATTTAACGCGGAAAGTTGCCAACATTTCCACGCACCTTGCTTTAGACTTGGCAGCGCTCTGGGACATTCATAGCGTTCCACAACACCAGAGCTCCCTCCTGGTAGCTCCGCTAAGCCAACGCCAAACTGAAATCTCCTTGCTGTACTCTTCACCGATATTGATTCAAGCTTAGGTACAATTTGACGTAGTATGTCAACAAAAAGTGTTTGTGTAGAATTATCTGCATCCCATGACTCCATCATTGGATGTTAATTCATAAGTTACGTAAAAATTGACCTTCGAACTTAGAAGGCAACAATTTGGTAAAAGTACGATGGCAATTGTAGCTGCGATGACATTGCAGACGACGTGGATCCTGGTATACGCAATGGACAACCGGCAAGAGAAATCCCAGAACAACATCGCGGGGTACGTGCGCAATGATGTATCAACTAATGCACCGGGCGTAGGTGGTGGTGTGCAAATGTCGTTGGATACGCTTGACGCCAAAGGCAACATAAACGTGAGAGTGTTGCACTCGACTTACGATGTTTCTGTAATCAGGTCTACAGGAGCACGAGGTCGGGAGAAAACAGGAACAAAAGTGGCTGTTATCCAGTGGCCTGAGATCATGCCAGAATCAAATTTCAGCAATGCGACGGACAACAAGATCAGTGGTTCTGCACCCACAAAAGCTGCTGATATAACAAGTGAAGAAATTAGTACAATTAAAATACCAACAGATCCTCAGGAACAACCGAACGATCCGAAAATCTTGGAGACGGCTACAACGAAGCCGTCCGAGCGCGCCTATGACTCCACAGCTACTTTGATGAATGACTCTGCTGTGACTCAAGCACCCGTCATATTGAACCAAGGCAGTTATTCTCTAATTCTTTTAATTTTAGCGGGCTTCTGTTGTATATTTCTACTTCTTTGGGGATGGAAAAGACGTTCTAGCTTATTTTATAGCTCAACTGCATCGGGAAATGCCAATACGAAGGGGTCCAAAGTGCAATACACTCATGTACCAAACGAGCAACCATTCAGCCACTGTCAATATGACGATGATGAGTTTTGCGACGACTTCACTGAGAACGATTTAGCGAACGATTGTGAAAGCTGGGACGACTGGGAAAATAGCTCCTCACAAGATCAAGTCTCCCAGATAAACCCTTTTGCTTCAGCACCCTCGATTTTGTCGCCAAGAATTATACCAAATGCGACTACTGGTCACAACTCTCAGCTTCTGCATTCCTCTCATCACCAATTTAATGATACTGCGACCTTAAACAGAGGTTTTCTTTTCTAAATTTCAATTTCGCCATCTCTACTGACTTGTTTATAATGACTCATAGATGCTGATCCGACAAGCCTTTGCGATGCGGTGATTGAAATAGAGAAGGAACGCGAAAGCTGCGAAGATCTGTTCAGTGTATGTTTTGTTATCATTTGCAGGAAATCTGTACTAATTTACTGCTCCAAATGCAGCAATTTGGCATGAAACCAGACTTTAAAAAGCATTCGGCAGCTTATACTACATAAGCTAATATTTTAGTGATATTTGCTTCCCAGCTTGATTACTAAGTGACCCCAATCTCTTCGTCAATACTGCATCCTGAAGCATAGCTATCGACTGCAGTATGATGAGCTAAATGTTGAGGATAATTGGGAGAAGTGGGTAAGAAATCTCGATCCGATCTAATTTACGTATAGTGCTATACCCTTTGTAACGAGGGCAACGAGACTGCTACTTTATATCTGGTTAGACTCTCAAGTAGGAGCTATACTAAGGTGGCTAATAAAAGCACGTACTTGCCTCAAGACTGATTCCGGCTGTCCATTATAATATCGTCACTGGTGTAAGAACCAAAAACGGGAGTACAATTCTCTTGCTGTTGGGAGGTTAAAATTTCGTTTGTTTCAGCCTTGCCAGCTTCCAGACTCAATCCTCGCAATCGAGTTACTTCGTATATGTCGAACTCTTTGCCATTTCGAAAACTTTTGCGACAGATGTAACCAGGAATCAGCTCTGGCGGGCCCTCCCACAACTTGCTCAAAATTCCGCGTCGCCATCCAACAATAATCAACAGCCCTAGCGTACAAGGCACAAGGTACAATGACGCTGGCTGTCCGTATCCCGTTGTAACAACGGCAATATTCGCGAAAATAAGCCCAACAACGTAACCCCACATCAGCAAGCAGAAAAGCCCACGACGGCAAGCTTGATCAAGATTAGTATTTCCAAGCTCTGCTCTGATTCTGTCCTGGTCCAAATTTCCTGTTGTTGTTGTTATCGAAGACCCGTTTAAGATACTTAGCGAACGTTCACGCAACGTGTTGCCGTCGAAATGATTCAAACGCCCGAAGAGCTGTTCCCGCGTGGCATAGTCGTAGCGCGCACAGAACACTAATAAAAGACCGGGCACCACGATGTCACCTAAGCTTAGAATTGTAAAACCAGATCGCCAATCGAGCACTTTGGGGACTCGCAGAAGAATGGGCATAACTTCAGAGCGACAATCGTGGTCCGAATTTGTCGGGTACCGCAGACAGTAGCCACTGGAAGAGCTTTGCGCATCACCCGTAGCTTCCTTAATTATGACACTCTCCTTAAATATATAGGGCGAAATGAAGACTATGAACAAATCGTACACGAAGAGTAGCAACAGTAGCACCGTTGCCACCTTAAGGTTTACCAGACGGGCAGTTCGGAGGAACACGAGACAAAAGCAGACACCCAGTACGTCTTGAAAAATCCACGAAAATGACTGAAATCGCGTCAAAAACCAAAAGAGCGCTATCAAGACTGACAAAAAGAGAGCAAGCAAATCTCCAATACTCCACATCGCCGGCACCAACAGGTCTCCCCAGTGCCATAAGACGTCGCACCACGGTAGCTTGCGCAAAAATCTACCCGGCAACCGTCGCATGAGCGGTTCCCAAATAGTTCGGAACGTAGCAAACACAGAGCCGATGCCAAAAAAAACCACTACGACGATCATCACGTTGACAAAAAAGAGCAACACCAAAAGTCCTGAGCCAAGGAACACAAATAGTGAAGCATACCAAAAATTAAGATCAAGTTGTTTGTATTTCGGGGCTCGTTCGTCATGTTCTTCGTATGCCACTTGAGCTTGGGCGATCGCGTCTGAAGAGGTGACATCAGCAGCTTGTAGTGCCGCCTTCAACTGTGCTTTGGTGCGTTCGTAAGCGGCTCCTTTGTATGAACCGATAAAAACTGTAGCGCAGGCCAGAATCAAGAGAATTACTTGGGCAGGGTCTACTACTGGTGGTTCGCGTTTGTAAACAGAAATTAATAACTGTCCGTCCTCATTGTCGCTTTCAGACGACAGCATTTCCTTAAGTGATTCACCACCAGCGATGGAAATTCGTACAACCACAATATCGCTAACCGATTTCTTGTTCGTTACGATATCTGAATAGCTAAATTCCATAGGGTCAGGTATATCCCAAGCGCAGCATACTTGCATGTCAGAACCACCGGACGGCACACACATGCGCGATGAACATTTGCTATTACTCGTGCAAGAGCGCACACCCGCATTGTCTTTCCATGCGGATGATTTAAAATCGATGGTATCGGAATTCCAAATTGCCTTACCAGAGCCGCGAGAGCAGCAAAATTCCATTTGTTTCTCGTCTTCGGTAGCGTCCACGGCGCTGGATCGGTTGTATAGCTGCTCAAGAGTGTCAGTGACAAGTAATATGGCTGCCCCTAGCTCCTGTGCAAAATATGCCTTTTCCGTGAAAGTGCATTGGCCGCGGTCCACGAGCAAAACGAAAGGTTCGTCTGGCAATCCAAGTAATTTTTGGCGATCGGTGCTCGACAAGTTGTAGTCCGATGATATGATGTCACCGCTAGTATTTAATAAATCTCGTTGTGATCTGCATCCATAGCTGTTGCTTAGACCGCTCGCATTATACACGAGAGGGTAGTATGCATGTTTTGCACCGTCTTTTAGCTTCTGGGCCTCAAGCGACTCACCCCAGCTTTCTTGTGCGGAACTTAACACATAAAATACAGCCTTTGAATTCTTGACATTGAGAACACCGGATAAAATCGAGTCTGCCGGATTTATAGCGGTACAGGACGTCAATAGCGCAGCTAGAAATAGCACATGTAAATGTAGCACCATTATGAAGAATAGTAAGCGGTACGATCACAGTGCGTGCGTGCGGTACGATCACAGTGCGTGCGTGCGGTACGGTCACGATTAGACAGCAAAAGCATAGACGAGTCTTTGTTTGCCAGATTTTATTTTATCTGCATGTTTTGAACAAACTTTTAGAGTTACGCTACTGATACTTCTATTAAATCTCAATGAGCTTTTATGGTGAAATCAACTCATATAGTGTCTACTGTATAATGTTATAAAGTGCAAGCTAAGAACACGGTAACGACGTGGTGGAAAGTACCAAAGTATTGGTACTACAAAGGCAGTAGAAATTATATGGTTTAGTTGAGTGTAGCTAAATAGACATTGTTCTATGTATCTAAAATCCAAAAGAAATACAATGAAGGAGTAAGTGACATGTAGCTCTCAGTTTCTTACTTCTTGGGTGGAGCGTACTAACCCAACCTTTGTGATTTTTCTCAAGTGAAAGGTGCAAGGCAATACATCGATAAAATACGATAAAATACGATGAAATACGATAAAATACGTATTATGTTACATTTGAGACCGAAGGTTATTAGATTATTCATCGTATGTCCATCAAATATTACAAAAGCTCTTCAAGGAGATATTCAAACTATAATGAATTATCCACAACTTTACTGCTACATTTCGCATGACCTCATCCTCATCGTGTTGTACATCCTTGTATTTTTGACTAGAAGAAAAATAGCGAGATTTAATCACCCGCAATCGGCACCATCCGAGAAATTACTTCTTGATCTGGGTATGAGTCAAATCTCAACAGCGTTGGAAAGATATGCTAAGAGCTCAAACTAAGGAGTAATGGACTTGATGATGTTGCTCACGATATAACAATGTCGACCATACAAGAAGTTTAGCAATGAGGCCAAAAAAACGGCAATAACAATGGTTAAGCTTTTAATTTTTTGAATGCGAAGTGACGTTTTGCGTGCAGCTGTTGATAATGATTCGACGCAAAATTAGACCAATTTTTGTTGACACAACTCATAAAAGATTTGAAAATCGTAAGTACCACAGAGAGAGCGTATCAAAAGCTATGACAAATAGTAAAGGATTCTTCAGAATTTTTATAGCTCGAGAGGTAATTGTGAATTCGTATATCAGCTTGCTTTGCAGATAAAGGATAGATACAAGAAAGTGACGTGGTCGTATTTCTGTTAGCATTTCGTTTAAGGTTGTTATGTTGCTGTCTCAAGAGAAATATATCGTGGGTCCGTTCGCTAACATACTCATGACGCTAAAGCACGTTAACTAAGGAACGCTTATTTCAAACAGACAAATCACGTATTATTTATGCACCCGGTGAAGAAAAATAAGGAGTAGACAAGAGCTAATATTTAGCACCTTTTGAGACTGGAGTATAAGCTTCTCGTCAAAATTGGTTTAAGCCTTGCTTTTGAGGCATGCAAATAATGTGGTATATTAGTCCTCTGAAACATGCACCTGATCGCAAAGCAAAGTGTGCCTAGTGGTTGCCAAGCGATCAGAAATACCGAAGTAATCCTTAGCACAATTCTCTAGCCTGCTGACACGCGGATTGACAATAAACATCCTTTGAGGGGTCCAGAATACACTTGCTTTTCACAGCCATACGTTTCTTACGCATACGTTTCTTACGCTACCTTCTCTTTCCTATCCTTGTGAATCCTAATGTAACATGTCCTGTGATGTAGAGCATGAAGTAAATCAAAGAAATGAGTAGTTACTAGTATGTTGACATAAAATTTTTGGTTTTAAAGTCGAAACAGGGTAGTATTAGGGGAGATACAAAGCAGAAGGGCGATCGTGATAAGAATCATGTTGTCTACGCGACTACAAACAAAGGTGTGCCCGCTTCGACGCTGCTATAATGACGATGGACTCAAGCGCTTGCCTTTAAAAGTGCTCATCAAATATGTATCCAACTAACCTACAATTGCGAGACACTTCAACCGTCAGATCTATGCTGTGCGTGTATTTATGAGCTGGTTAGACGCACTATTTATCTGCTGGACACCTCAATAAATTTTCGTATGTAGCTCTTGATTACTACTGATAAAGCACAGTTTAAGTGTGTGACGCCCAATTTCGTTCATTTCGTTTACCGACGGTAATTTAACTCACGCAATGCTGAGTTCTATGAGCAAGTGACACTCTAGACTCATAATCGGGGTTAAACGCCGGTACGACCCCGACTCCCAGTTCGTAGAGCTTAAATTTTACAGATGTGGCCTTGACTAGCTTCTGCAATACCTAGACGAAACCTTTCTGGCGCCTTCTTTTGATTTTGTGCGATTTCCAACACAGCATATTGAGTGATACAATATTCTTTCATGTGAAAGAAATTTAGCGTATTTATACAAATATTATTTCCGCACTCTGAGAAATTATAAAAATAAATCCAAAAATCATGCGGTGTAAGTATGATCCGCTTCTGTCGATGTTATTGCATTGTCATTAAATTGATTGCCATCCATACTCATTTATATAAATATATTACCAATAATTTACCTTGCCTGATAGGAAAAGTGCCTGAATTGCAGAATATGCTCTAAATCTAGTAGTTGCTCTACCCCTAAGCTGCGATAGATCTAACCAACCATTTGAGTTGCGCAATGTAAAACCCACTGACTTAAGGTCGAAATCAGGCGCACCTTTCAGAATTAATGCACTAAGTGTGAATGGCGGTCAGCTTTGACCGGTAAAAGACGTTCGTTCCCCCCAACTCACATTGTAGTGTCAGAACGCGATTCGCCAGCGCCTGGCGATTGTAGCATCTCGAGCAGATTTATGGCCAGCGTACTTCTCGATAGCTACAAGCAGTGGGCTGAAGGCATGGATGTCATGCTATTGGATTGGGCTGACCCAACCCTTCGCTATCGGCTATCGCCAATGCAGAATTACTTTCTTGCTGACTTTGGTACGGTCTTCGCACTTTGCGTCGCATACCTTACCTTTGTAGTAGTTGGCACGGTACGTTTATCTATCCTCCTCATTATTCGCTTGCAAGCAAAATATTTAAGGACTATCCTTATGCCTTTTCATGTTGGATACAGCTTGTCATGAAGTCGGACATACCTGCACTCAACACAGCCCCACTACAGTTCATTTACAATCCCGTGCAAGTCGTGCTGTGCTCGTACATGACTGTCGAGGCCATCTTGCAAGCCCGCCGCAACGTATGCACCCAGTATATTGAATCCATGATGTCCGGCCACTCACAAATGTAATTTTACTGTTGCAGGATTACTCGGCCACCCCATGCAATGCCTTTAATCATGAAAATCCCGTTATGGGTAACCTCATGTATATCTTCTACCTGTCAAAAGTACTCGATTTTTGCGACACTTTCTTCATTATCATGGGAAAGAAATGGAAGCAACTTTCAGTGCTCCACGTTTACCATCACGTCACTGTCTTTTTTGTGAGTCTTTGCTGATTATGCTCGGCTGATCCTCATTCAAGCTTAATTCTCATTTGCCTTTTTTGTTTTATGCCTTATCTAGTGCTACTGGGCCAACTTCCGCACGTGCTACGATGGTGATCTCTACATGACCATAGTACTTAACGGTGGCGTGCATGCAATCATGTATATGTACTATTTTGTGAGCTCGCACACTCGCGAAATCTGGTGGAAGCCTTACTTGACGACAGTACAGATGATCCAGTTTCTACTTATGAACGCACAAGGTTATCTCATGGTTTCGCGTTCCTGCCCTGGCATGCCTTACAAGATCTCAGTTATATACCTTATATACGTGCAATCGCTATTTTGGCTTTTTATGAATTTCTTCATCGTGAATTACTGCTTGAATTCGCGAAAGCACAAGTCCGTCGAGGCTGAAAAGAAAATGGTGTAATGGACCCGTCATTATGAAAGGAAGCAAGCGGCTGGACAACACAGTTTAGGTTTTTTCCGAGTAAAATAATGAGAGATGAATCATTAGCCTTCTCTAGCTTGGGCCAAGTGTTAATCTTGTGGTCTTTTTGCTGCATGAATTCAAATTTGATATTAGCACAGTATCCTTGACGTCATACTTGGGAATCTGGCTACCCTAGGTACGGTACCAATATATTTGTGGGTTAATATTGAGGCAATCTACACAGTCATGGTTTAACGAACACGAGCGCTTGCCCCAGAGAATAGCATGTGTCATGAATATGAATTTCACATTGCAGCGATAAACTTCTTTTGTATGTATAAAAGTAACGAATTATCGTATTTCAAAGATAATGGAACTGTATGTGATACGTCGAGCAATACAGAAAGTTTCAAGATAAGATATGGAGATTTGTGAATGTTTATTTAGTTCAAATGGAACAAACCCTATATTTATATAGAAGCAAACATAATTTATTTTCCGCTCCAATGTGATTAGAGGTTCCTCTGTGCAAAGTGCGCGACAATTCGTTGCACTCCGTAGCACTAGTAATCGAACCCACGACTCAGTCATGAGAGGACTAAGTTATCTGTGGGGATAAAACATGATTGTACTCGTAAGGAAGCTTATGTTTGTTGTTAGCCCCGGCGGGATAATCTGAACCTGGCTGCCAAAGGGCGGCACACGGTAATGGTTTACCTGAAGGCAGTCATCTGATATGAGACAGAGCGATTGGAAAAGCGCCAAAAATCCCCATTTGGACGCCGAGACGGCACCAACTGTGACTTCAATGTGTCCTTCTTTTTGAGGGACATGACACTGAAAATCTCTCCCTATGGAGAGATTTTCATGCATGACCATTAATTCGCATTGCACACACTGTCTTCAAGCTAGTGGTCTGTGCAAGATAATGGGCAATATCGTGCGGTACTTTTGTGAAAGAAACATTCGCAACAAAGGAGGATTTAAGGAGACATATATGATCTCAGCCATGTCGAGCGAGAAGTCAAATTCGGGCTGAACTGAAGCTCTATGAGCACTCCAGAGTTGATGAATACCAGCCATGCTGGGGATGTAGCGAGTGATAATTCAGCTGTTAAGCACCTTAGCGGTACTCACAAAGGTTTCTCTTTGAGACATTAAACATCTGCGCCTTGCGTGCCTCTTCACTCTCGGCTGAAATATAAGAAAGATCAAACTCATGCCCAAAGACGTTCAACGAGCTCCTCTTGGTAATCGTAGGCGCATAGCCGCCTAATACGAGCAAACTAGATTTTTTTGTACCTCATGAAGGTCATAGTCGATGGTACACAGCCTATAAATGGAAATGCTTTTCTAAGATATGTGATGCATACAGCCAGGGATTATTAGTTCTTCATACTCCTTAAAGGGCTATGTAAAACAGTTGAAATATATGTTTGATTTAAAATCTTCGTAATATTATGTATGGAGCGCGATTGTCTGAAAATGTGGACAGTATGCGGAGGTATTGAGAATGTCAATGCGTATAAAAGACTCCGTGCGTCTGGCGATAGTAAAACTACTTGTGTCTAGTCTGTATATGAAAATTGTGGGTCATGACAGCGTGAAACTTTGTCTAGCCTTAAACCTTGACTTGAGATACAATTTTGTTCTGAGTTTAGCGCGACAGGAACCCTACGAGCCGTGAATTCGCTGAAAAAGGTTTTGCGTGCTTCTGTCTCTGTGAGACAATGGCTTATTGGACTCAGCCTTGTCACGATGTAAAATTGCCGCTGATACAGTATTTAAATGTGACGGGCCAACCGCACGAAGCTGTGGAGCCTCTCGGTTTATTGGTGTGATAGACGATTCATCGATTTACGAGATGACTGGTTTAGTCCATGGTGCTCTTAGTCTCCCCCAAAAACTTCTAGCGGAAGACCCCACGGAACTATCACTAAAAGTTATGTAAAAGGCAATCTGTGAAAAAGCCCCTAAAGTGGTACGGTTGGTGAAAACTTTGAAGCTGAACCTGTCCTTTTCATTGATGTAATAGTTATTGAGGTGAATCACAGAGCACTGAGCGCAAGAAGTTGGACAGTTATCCCTAAGGATCCTACTAATATTTTCTAAATTTTTCTCAAGACATTATCAAGACGCGATGATGAAAGGCCTAATGCAGGTATTACTTTTAAATTAAGGAGTGCGTCAATTGACTTGGTGCTCGGAGCAACTTTCGCGTCAACACGGCAGAAATTCTGACCATGTATCGTGTGTGGCATTTTTGACGCCTTACCGTGCTAAGCACGTACGGATTTGTATGTAGCATAGAAAAACTCATCTGATCAACAGCAAGTGGTAATTTGCGCATACTTATGATATGCTTAATTTGCAGCGCGATCGCCGATTCCTCGAACAGATATGCCGAAGAAACCATGTCGACTGCAACGTTTTCAGCGAGTTTAACCTGGTTAGTGTATTTTTTTATTCTGTGGATGAAAAACAAATATATGTTGCTGACTGCATTGGACACTTCGATTGTAATGCTCAAAAAGTGGCCAGTTGTCTCACAAGAACCAACTAATGAAGCAGTCACATACACTATCTTGACGCGCAGCTGTACAAGGCCAGATCGGAGCCATATACAAACTCATATGCATTCGTCATAGTCTTGCAGAGTACAAGACGTTGGGAGTGAGTACCACATTGAATATTTTCGAGGAATGATTGAATATTTGGGTGGGATTAGTTGCAGACAAATGTGACGTTGGCGCCGACGAAATCTGAAACTAGATTGCTCTATTGAAAAGCAGATCCTTGGGAAGATTTTGCTAAGATACAGCTCACAGTAGCTTGACTGGTGCATTCATTCCTAATGGAGTTAAAGCTGTGTTTTAATCTGACCAATTACTAGCTAGCATGCGTAAAGTGTAAGACTGCCCACAAGGCACGACCACACACCAATAAGGAAATCATAATCTTTTGGGATGCGGAGAAAGGGTTGTCTCTACCGGCTGTAGCATATAAACTTATGCGTGCCTCGATCCCGGCTTTTCCTAATCTGAGTCGGTCATTCGTTGTCGTCTACATCACTTTAGCCTTTACCACAGTCTTGATATAGTCAAAGATGTCGGTAACCGTGAACGCGTCATCCAAGCTGAAAGTAGCAGCAATGAATGATGTAATTAACAACAAGCTGATGGAGTATACAATTGTCGACTTTAGTGTACACATTACTGACTCTAAGTCATCTGTGATTATACAAACCATGCATTTTGTGCTTGGCGACATCGATACCACATCCGTCTCGGATAATGACACGATGGGTTTCGTCTTTATCAAGTATATCCTTGACAAAAGGTATACGCTCGCCATGCTTCATCCTAAGGCTTGATGTATTACAGCACTGACCCATATGATACTTTGAGCGTAGTGATGCCTCATGATGAGGACCTCAAAAGCTGTACGAGGCACATGATACCCTGAAGAGCTAGCAGTCTATCAGTGTGGATTTATTTTGGGTCCACAAAATTTCCGGTCATACTGGTATTGTGATCTTCGTGGATCGCCTCAACAAGATGGTTCATCTATCTGTTGTCAGCGATATTTTGGCGGGTGTGGATCCTGCCGGTAGCCAGTCTATTTTATATAGATCCGCTCCTAAACTCAAAGTTTCTTCGAACGTAATTCAAGGTGTTAGGCTCCATATTGGAGATGTCATCCGCTGAGCATCTTTTTGCGGATGGTCAGACGTAAGGCGTTAGCCGCCAGGTGGGAGAAATATCTCAAAGCACTTTTATAGAGACAGCTATGCTGGAGGGAATTGCCTCCACACATTTTATCTGCGTCGAATAGTGCAGTGCATGCCTCTACAGGCTTAATTTCATGTAACATAATTAATTTGCTGAACCTCTGAATGCCATTGACACCGCTCGGAAGTGCCTTCGGGAGGAACTGCCAATCAAAATTGACTTGTTGATACAGCTACACAAACTTAGTGATTACATTTTGTTGAAATTGAGCGTCATATGCAGGGTGCGCAACGCTTTGGCTAGTAGCCAAGACATACCGATGCCTGAAATAGGCGGTGCGCACACAAATATGTTATAAGGTCTGACGAATGCAATCAACCTGCCTGCACATGCAGTGCCTACAATCGAGAAGACTTAGTAACGATCGCGATACATCGGACCTTTCACGATCGTAGCAAAAGACGAAGCCGGCATAAATGGTGAATGTGTTTACATCTCCTTCTAGTAAAGGTCAAAGTCTATAGCCATACCACGATCCCGCTAATACGAGGTAGCCGTGCATGACAAGATTCGTCGCAGACGAAGCAATATCTTTACCAGACCCTACTTTCTGCTTGAAGAAATGGAGGACCGGAGCAAGTAAGATTTACGGTAATTTCATGTTGTAGTTTCCCACAACGATGATTTAAAGCACAAGATTGTGTACGATGCGCATATATACCGGTCACTTTAGCCGTAGAAAAACCTACCAAGGTCTCAGTGTCGAATTTTGGTGGCCCCGCATAAACAAGTTGTTTGCACGATACTTGAACACATGCGATGTCTGTTGGCGTGTGGAGATCGCAAGGCACGCGCCAGTGCCAGTGAGAATCGCTTTGTTTCTACTGTTGAGCAGGGCTGCAGTAGCTCTTAGCTTAGAATGCGCCAATCTAAGGTCACCGACCTAACGTTCTTTACAAAACAGGTTTGAATGTAGCGGATCGCAATCCGCTATCTCCAAGAGTACCCTTAAACCTTATCCAAGGCAAATGAATTCAATGTTAATAATTTAATTTTATTTAATTGTTTTAGTGGCAGCAGATCGCTTTTATATAAAAGCTAGGATTCCTAATTGATATATTAATACCTAACTAATGTAGTAAACCTAATTAACATGTATTACTACTGGTTGTGGCTTCTTGCTACGATGTAGCCCCACCACTGTGTGGTTAAATCAACTTGTGTAATTCCCACCTTTGTACGGTCACACCATCCTGTGCGACCCGG